ATATATATTTTTTTTATAAAATATATATATATATTTTTAATAAATATGTGTATATTTTTAATAAATATACATATAATTTTTAATAAATATATATACATATATTCAATAAATATATATATATTTTTATAAATAAACATATATATATAGATGACATAATTTAGCCATTGAAAATATATTTCAATTGAGCACTGTTGAAAGATAGGCTATTTCTATAAACAACAGCCACCTGTGTTAATGCAAAGCTCTTCAGTAAAATGAATTGGAGCACTCTGGCTGATTGACATTTGTTTACATTCGTAAAAACAATACACCAGATTTAGCTGTTTCTCTCTGTCAAATGAAGATAGCTCAGTGGCAGAAACTCTGACTGACACCAAATTGGTTGGGTTTCAATCAGGGCTTGAGGCATTCAAATGTCTAGTTGCACTGATGAGCTATGATATCATGAAACAGTACTGTCTGCGATTGACATAATATATATATATATATATATATATATATATATATATATATATATATATATATATACATATGCAATGAATTCCTATATTACAACCATTTACAATATATTCTAATAGTAAAATCATTTGCCATGCATTCCTATAATTAAGCAATTTGCATTGCATTCTTATATTACAACCATCTACCATTGCATTTTATAAATTTATTTTAAGAATGTATATATATATTTTTGATAAATATATATATATATATATATATATATATGCAATGAATTCCTACATTACAACCATTTACAATATATTCTAATAATAGTAAAATCATTTGGCATGCATTCTGTTATAGTGGAACATACCTATTCTATAGTTAATAGACTCTCCCACTTATAATAAGTAGGAGTAGTAGGAGTCAATCAGTGGGGTCAGTCGATGCCGGACGACTGTTAGTCGGATACTAAAGTATCAGCGACCACAACTAGATTTACTCTGCGTCATACCTATTATATGAAGTTCCTAACGTTTTGTACGTCGACCCTATTTTAGGACCAACTTAGTACAAATACAAGCCTCCACTGTGAAACCACTCCACTCCACCCCAACACATTCCTATAATAAAGCAATTTGCAATGCATTCTTATATTACAACCATTTGAAATATATTCCTACAGTAAAATCTTTTGTAATGCATTATTGTTGTAAAATTACATGCATATAGTATTAGATCACTATGAAATATACCATCTTTTTATTAAAAAAAAGCTGTTCACTGCAAAAGAAATGAAAATGTGCTATTTTTACTAAAAACCTAATTATGCTGACTAATCAGAAAAATATAATGATTACCAAGAAATTATATGAAATGGAAAATGAATTCCAGTTCACTCTGATTGATGATCCTATCAAGGTTCACAAGTGGAATAATAATCTTTGACAGCTAATACCAGGGCAAGCTTGTATAGTGTAATATTTATTGACTTCAGTTCCTATTTGATTATGTTTCATTCACTTCATGTTAATACCCTTAGAAATCTTACAAATGGTATGAATCCTCCAGCTATGGGTTAAATAACAGAGAAAACTGAGATCTCTTTCCTAATTTAGGAAAAGGAAAATTCTGAATACAAAACCATCTTGCCCAGGGCACACAATTGTTGCTAGCACTGCAATATGTGTGGGGCCCTGACAACCTTAATGGATTAGAGGGTAGGGAAAGTTGTTGCCTTTTACTAAGCTAAGCTTAGGTTTGGCACAAGATTCCAAGTATGAGGTATCCAGTGAAGATATTGCAACTAATAATCTATATGTTCAGCTTGTTGGCCATTACTGAATGGCAAGATGCCCAGGCAAGACATCAAATCAATTGTAGTCAGGATCAGATAGTCTCTGTGAAGTTCATAATCCTTTTGTTAGTTGCACAGTATGTGCTTTGCCAGGGTTACATATAGTTTTGAGTTGTTCTTCTTCATGACTGGCTGTTAATCAAGGCTGAAAGCCCAGTCTGCTCTTCTATTTAGTCCATAGTTGGGGCAGGGTGGGGGAAAGAGATGGATTCATACCTTTTCTAAGGATATTTGTGTGAATGTAATGAAACTTGACTGGAATTTGAACTCATCTTCTTGCTTTCTCATTTTGAGTCACTATACATAACACCACCCACACATCCTCTCAAGTAAGTCAGGTATACATATGAAAATGTTTTTATACAAATGCCTGCTCAACCACTCTTTTGGTTTGTAGCCATAACATGTTGAAAAAATAGGTTCCTGTATGATTACTGAAGTTAAGCAATATCAAGCCTGGTTAGTACCTTGATGGGTGGCTGCTTGGGAATACTAAGTGTTGTAAGTTTGGGTGCACAGGTAGTGTAATGGATAATGGTTCAGATTTTTGATTGGAGTGTCGATTTCCAATTCTCACTGGGTTCATTATATTCACTTACATGTAAATACCCTTGCGAAAGGTATGACTCCACCTCTTCTCCCCCAGCTATGGGTTAATTAGTAATTATTTTACATACATGTTATTGGCCATCATTTGGCACACAAAGCACTTAATTTGTTTGGTTTGGTTTGTTTTATTTTACAGCATATCAACCTCAATGAATCATTTAGTGCCAACAAGCTTTTTATTGCTGGTAATATTTTTTTTCAAAAAATATATTGTTCATAATATTTTTTTCAAAAATGTATTGCTGGTAATAATATTTTTTGAAAAAAAATATATTGCTGATAAAAAATTTTCCAAAAAATATTTCTGGTATTAAAGCCTATTTTTATAATTTTAATACTGTTTTGACCCCTTTAGCAGCTGTTAACTATTTGCCCATAGCTGGGACCCTGATAGATGCTACCACCCTGGGTCAGGGTGGACCTGGAAATACCAGCAATTCCACGCTTCTCAAATCCTCCTAATCAAAGTCCTTGCTGTTGGGTGTAGTTTATCATCTTACCCAGGATGCAGATGTACTTTATCGTCATACCCAGGACATTATTTTGTTCATAATAATTTTTCTTCAAAGTATTGCTGGTAAAAATTTTTTTTCAAAAATGTATTTCTGATAATAACTTTTCCCTCAAATGCATTGCTGGTAATACAATCTATTTTTACACCTTCACAGCCTTTTGACCCCAGTTTGGGGTCAACTATTTGACCATAGCTGGGATGCTAACAGGTGCTTCTACCCCAGGTCAAGGTGGACCTGGGAACACCAGCAATTAAGAGGTGGTTGCACCCTCGTCAAACCTCCTGATCAGAGGCCTTACTGTCAGATGTAATTTATTGTCATGCCAAAAGACATGGATGCAGTTTATCATCTTAACCAGGATGGACTTAATTTATGTAATTCTTTCATTTTTGTGTGTTAATAAATTTATCATCTGTTTTTTTAAACTTGGCTCATATCATCTGTCTTTGTTGTATGCTCTTTTAAATTAAATGTTACATCAAATATTTGTTTGAACCATTTTATTTGTAGGATTTTTTACCAAAGAAAAATCTTTTACATTTTCTGCAATATAAATGTATTGAAAAACTGTGTTCACAAAGTGAGGGATCAATTTATATATTGATTGAAATATAGAATTGATCCCCCACTTTATATCCACATTATAACTTCTTGATTATCAAATTCTGGCTAGTTATGAATCCACCTCTTCTCCCCCAGCTATAGGTTAATTAGTAAGGCTGTTGGACATAGTTTATAATCATACCCAGAACATGGATGCAGTTTATCATCTTAACCAGGATGGACTTAATTTATGTAATTCTTTCATTTTTGTGTGTTAATAAATTTATCCTCTGTTTTTTAAACTTGGCTCATATCATCTGTCTTTGTTGTATGCCCTTATAAATTAAATGTTATATAAAATATTTGTTTGAATCATTTTATTTGTAGGATTTTTTACCAAAGAAAAAAATCTTTTACATTTTCTGCAATATAAATGTATTGAAAAAACAGTCCACAGAGTGAGGGATCAGTTCATATATTGATTGTAATATAGAATTTATCCCCCACTTTATATCCATATTATAAGTTCTTAAATTCTGGCTAGTTATGAATCCACCTCTTCTTTAACTATGGGTTAATTAGTAAGACTTGTATCACTAAACCATTATTATCTCCCCCTACCAAATATCTTACAATCTAAAAATATTTTCCGGCATTAAATAACCTGCAAAGGGTTGATACACCATAGAAAATGTATCAATCAACAATCAACCTGTAGTATTGTATGCAAATGAGATAGATAACTATAAATAGAGAACAACTGGTGAACATAGAAAGAAACACAAAGAAACATGGATAAGGACTTTTGCTGCATTTGCAAGAGTGAAAAAATTAAGAGACACAAAGACCGACAGAGGAGAGAATGAGATAATGGATTTATTTCTTGCTACCACTGGGTGCAAAGCTGTGAAAAAAATTTTAACTCATGGCCCAAGGAAGCAGAGCCATGAGTTAGGGACCACATGGATCACACACATATCAGAGATAGGTGATTATTCTTAGTATCAATGGACTCATATTCAGGATGGCCAGAGCTTGTCAGAGTAAAGGACAGAAAAGCCACCACAATAGAGCAAATACTAAGAACAATATTCTCAAGGAATGGAGTACCCCAGACAACAGTCACCAACAATGCACCCAAATTTTGCGATGAGAACTTATGTGCGTGGTCAAAACAGATTTGACGCATCCTATACAAGACACCGCAATATCACCCCTAATCTAATGGCATCATGGAAAGAATGGTGCAAACAGTGAAAATGGGATTAAAAACATTCTCACCACTTAATGAAAGCATAGAAGCATATCTATCAAAAAATGCTCCTCAGTTACAGATCCATTCCACATTTATTAGTATTTTTCTGTCTTCTAGTTATTTTCTCAATTAAAAACAAATATCCTTTTCTTTCATTTTCCTTTGTCTGGTCATTGGTATATCTTCAGTCTATTGGAAATTAGTGTTTTTCTGTCTTTTAGCTTTTTTTTCAATTTACTAGTGTCTTTCCAATAGTGTCACACAATGACGTGTAGGCAGGATGTTTAAGTTCTATTCTTGACTGATTGAGAGCCCAGTCTGCCTGACTATTTTACTTATAACTAGAAGAAGATAGGTTCATACATTTTTCAAAGGTATTTGTACAAAGTGGATGCAACAGCCTCAGTCAGAATTTGAACTCAGCTTACAGATTCCATTTCCCATCCTGATAACTGTTATGCCACTTGCACATCCATATTTACTGATGGGACAGAGCAAGGAGAAATGTATTGTTATAAAGTGAATATAAAAACAGCCAATATTCAAACTCAAGTTTGCCAACTCTGGTTTTCATGTCAATAATCATTTATTCCACTCTGGACCAAATGGTGTATTATAATAAAAGAAAAATAAATGATTCTGTTGGGTCATTGTAAAAGAAATATAATAGTAGTATAGAAAAACATTGATTAAGAAACAAAATATATGAAATTTGTAAATATGTCAATGCCTATTCATATGACTTTCAAAATAAAGGTTTATTTAATTTGAAAATATTCTTTATATAATATTAACAGATTGTGACATCTATCAAAGAGATTAAATTTAAATTTTATTATTGCATTATTCCAAAATTTTAACACATCAGCAGATAACTATTAATGTCAATAACTGAGCACAAATTGTTATTAATTAAGAAAATTAGTAATTAATGCTTAATATTATCCATATCTACATATTCAGGAATGTTGTTTTAGATAAAAGTTAAAAAAATAACTATAAATACATAAAAAAATGTGTATATTGTCAAAAATTCCTTTTTCCACAATACAGCTATTTGTTGTGCTATATTATAATGCTTATTACCTAAACAATAATAATACTGAATAAATGTTTTGAAACATTAAAGTATATTTATTCACATCTCCCTAATAGCTGTTGTGATCTGTAAACAGAATTGAAATACCAAAGATAATTATCTATAAGCATATATATGTGTGTGTGTGTGTTGTTTAAAATTTTCTATATTTATGGGGCAAGAGTTCTCAGTATCAAAGATAAAGTGTTTATAGATATAGACAGTGTAAACATAGGAAACAAGAGTCTACCTATTACAGCCTGTTCATATTTATCTACCTCTCTATCTATTACAGCCTGTTCATATTTATCTATCTACCTCTTTATCTATCGCAGCCTGTTCATATTTATCTATCTGCCTCTCTATCACAGCCTATTCATATTTATCTATCTACCTCTTTATCTATCACAGTCTGTTCATATTTATCTATCTACCTCTTTATCTATCGCAGCCTGTTCATATTTATCTATCTGCCTCTCTATCACAGCCTATTCATATTTATCTATCTACCTCTTTATCTATCGCAGCCTGTTCATATTTATCTATCTACCTCTTTATCTATCACAGCCTGTTCATATTTATCTGTCTACCTCTCTATCTATCACAGCCTGTTCATATTTATTTATCTCCCTCTTTATCTATCGCAGCCTGTTCATATTTATCTATCTGCCTCTCTATCACAGTCTGTTCATATCTATCTATCAGTATATTTATGTCTGCCTATCTCAGTTTATTCATTTATGTCTATCTCAGTCTATTCATATCTATCTTTCTCAGTCTGTTCATTATTTATCTAAGTCTGTTAATATCTAGCTAGCTAACTATCTCAGTGTGTTCATTATCTTATCTGTCTATCTTTCTATCTATCTGTGTTGTTCTGTTCATTATATCTATCTATTTATCTATCTATTCTGATAGATATGATGAAGGCATAGGAATAAACACTGAATGTTGACTTTCATTTTCATGCCTCAAGCGATCTTCTAGTGCTTCAAGCTATCTTCTAACTTTCATATAAAAAGTGCTATGTCCACACTTTCTAAGTCTATGTTCAATATTGAACTTGGCTCTGCAAATATTCTGTGAAAGTTACTGTTTGCGGTCGTATGACTGGATTGAAAACATTCATAATGAAATCAAAAAACCGTGTGGAAGAAGAGAAGATAATAATAACAATAATAATAATAATAATAATAATAATAATAATAATACTTGGTTATGATAGCAATATATCACAACATGAAAGTTTAAAGTTTTCAAAAACATCTGGGGACTTGTTTTGTTTTTTGTTTGAAAATCCCACATTCTCTTTTTGTCTTCTTGAAGAGTTGAAAGGAGTTTCGGTATGAATTTCTGAAATTAGGAGTTATCATTACTTACACTATTTACATTCAGGCTAGTGTCCTCATCTTTTTTGTTGTTATCACAATATTTTAGCTGTTGTGTCCCCTGGAGTATGTTGATCAAGTAACCTACAAAGAAATTCCAAATTGAACTCTCTATTTAATCTATGGGTTAGATTGTTCTCGTTCCACTATCTAGTTCTTATTTTTAGTATTGCTCTGTTGTTGCTTGCCCTGTTTTCACTGAGTCCAAATACACACTACCCAGATGAGGGATTGAACTCATAACTAAATGTCACCATATTCACAAATCAATAGTTTAATCCACAAGACTATTGTCCCATAGGATAATTCTCTATAGAGAACTTGGAGCCTTAAACCTAACCTGCCTGCTAATAAGTGCTGCTGCTATTTTGTCATGCATGACTGTACTCACTGAATCTTTTCTCTTTTGTTACAGCTGCTGCTGTTGCCTTTGAAGATTTCCTGTCATTTGTTTTTCTTTCTTTCTTAGTGGTTCCTATATTGTATTTATTTCTATGCTGAGTCTACTAATGATATCCTGATAGCATAGCATATACACTGATTCTTTTTATTTGAAAGTTATTGATTAAACTGTTGTTTCCACATTAAATCTGATTATTCTTTGGCGTAAAACCCATACACCTAAATTGCCTGTATCACTACTTTTGCACTTTGGGACCATTATTAAGCAAGACTAATGGATTGTTTTATTTCTCGGTTTCATCGTGAGTAACAAGATACTTTAATAAAGGTTATGTGATGGAAGATTTAATTTATTGTAGATCTTAGCAATCTCAGCATATTTTTTCTTTCTTTAAGTTGACAACTTTCAACTTTTCACTTAAAGGAAGCACCTTATAATTTATCTTTGACATATCCAAATTAACAGTATCACTACACTTGCATTTTGGGACCATTATTAAATATTTAAAAATATTTATTTAATAGGAGTAAATAGGTTTGCCTATATCCTGGTTCATACTCCCCCTTGATCTTTTGAGTAGAGGTTTATCCCCTATTTTCTGTTTACGATTGGGTTTCTGCTTCCTTCTAAAGTCTACTTCAACACTGTACTCCTAACATCTTTGCCTGAACTCTGAAAATGTATTTACTGATTATTTATTTCATTTTTTCCTCTTCTCTTCAGTATGAGTGGGTAGGTTCCCATATCATTTGGTTCACACTCCTCCTTGATCTTTTGAACAGGAGTAGAGGTTTATCCCTGGTTTCCAGTTTAGGATTGGGTTTCCAGTTCCTTTTAAAGTCTTTTCATTCTCTTTCACTCCCAGTTGACTCTTGCATCTTAGTAGCATAATTACCTAGCTTGGGGTGAATTGATTAAAAAAAAGAAAGAAAGAAGACTAATGAATTGTTTACTTCTGAGGGTCATAGTGAGTAACTGAAACTGGAAAATGAAAGCATGGATATGAAGGAAGAGCCCTGCAAAATGTGTTCTACTTTTTTATGTGCCATGTCCCTTCAGGATATAGGCAATCATGGCTCTTCACAATTTCTTCTCCTTTGTAGCTCTTAATAAATTTTGTCTTTTTGTTATTTCTCCTAAACCTTATTCTGCCATCTATTACTCAACCTTACTAAGCATTTTATGCATTGTTTTCCTTTGTCTATCTTGCCTTCAATCCATCCTGTATCTCAGATTTTCTAAGCCCTTTTTTCTCATTATGTGCCCTAGAAATTCCAACTGTCTCTTCCTGATGTTAAGTATAAGTTTCCTTTTGATTTTCATTTTCTCTAAAATTTTGTTATTGTTCAGATGCTTCAGTCCATAATATCCTCAGCATCTTTTTGTAGAATCACATTTCTATTGCTTCAAATCTCTTCATCTTTGAGGAGATTGTCCAGCATTCACTGCCATATAGGAGGACAGATATCGTATAACAGTTTAGTACCCTTAAAGTAAACAAGGCCATATACTTCAGTAAAACAGATGACTTCCCACTTCTTATTTCAGTTATTGATGTTGATTTTTACATGTATCCTTTATATATCTTTCATATTTACAAATATGTTTAAATCTTGTCTGCTTGTCTCGGTTTTATAATGAAATTATTTCTTATACATTTCCTCAACTGTTCTGTTGTGAGCAAGATGGCAATGAATGGCAGGTTAAAGTTCAAGATTTTAACCCCTACCACTTTAAAACCACTTAAAAGGCTAAACCTATAAGTACATCCAGGATCTTCTGACTTTTCAGAAAAACAGTTCTCTTTGGTACATCAATACAAATATTAAGGAAATATTTAAGATACTCATTTCAAATCCTTTTTTTTTTATCATTTCAGCCCAGGCAAGGTGATAATGCCACTAAGATGCAAGGGGTTACAGGGAGTGAAAGAGAACGAGATGACTTTAGGGGAGGAGAGAAGCAAGGAAAAGACAAGAAAGAAACAGGTTTCAGGAAGACAGAAGATGGTGAGTGACATTGCATTTAATTTTGGGGGGATTGTAGCATTCCTTTGGTGAGAGTAATTGTCCATATTGCCCATTATTCCAAGCATTTTGTCCACTTCTTTAGCCATTTTGTTTTAGGTGTTGGTATTGTAACTATTTACACTATATATATATATATATATATATATATATATATATATAAAATAAAGATGAAAAGGAAAAACATTTATTTACCAATGTGTTTTTTTCCCCAAGGGACTTCATCATAATAACTGATAAAGATTTTATTTTGCAACATGTTTTTAGAAACAGAAGTAAATTAAGTTGAAGGAAAAATATTGGTAAGTTTTCAAAATATTAAATTTAAGAATGCTACAAAATTAGGAACTAGGTCTCACCGTTTTACTGTTGAACTAGATAAATGCAACTTTCTGTTCTATTCTAATAGAATACATACATATGAGTCTATATATGTATATTTATGTATAAACCATGTTTGTCTGTTTCTATCACTATATATATATATATATATATATATGATAGAAACAGACAAACACTGGTTTATACATAAATATACATATATAGACTCATATGTATGTATTCTATTAGAATATATATATATATATATATATATATATATATATATATATATATTTTGTATTTTTATTATTAATTAAATTTTACCACTTTAAACATTATTTTCAGTGGATACTCATATGTGAGTAAATGGTCAGTATAAACAGTAAATTTATTTTCATTTACCATCCTGAATAGTCAAGAAATCTTATTAAAGAGAAATATGGGCTCACTGGCAGGATTCAAACCTGCATCTCACTAGGCTGATGGAATCGTTGTTAGATCAGACATGCTTTACCCAACTTAGCTATGAAAAACTTTTGACAAATAAGGTTAAAAGTGGTCACTAGTCTCTTGGATTTTTTTTTTTACTCATTTCACCCCAAGCAAGGCGATAATGCCACTAGGACACATGGGGTTGCAGGGAGTGAAAGAGAATGAGAAGACTTTAGGGGAGAAGAGAAGTGAGGAAAGGACAAAAAAAGAAACAGGGTACAGGAAGACAGAAGATGGCAATTGAAGTTGCATTTAAATTTTTAGAGATTGTAGGTGGCAGGAAAGTAACCTTAAGAAGAATGAGATGCTTCTGCTTACACTTACAATATATGACACTTAAAAATTTGTCTTTTTTGGACATCATCATCTTCTATGTAGATTTTTTCCATCAGGAGGTGAGTGATCATAGCTCTCCACAACTTCTTATCCAGTGTAGCATTTGTAACATTTGTCTTTTCGCCATCTCTCCCACTCTCCATTCTGTCATCAATTCAAAGGTAGGTGGCCTACTACTTGCCCTGTCCCTCTTGCCTTTGATATGTTCTGTGAGTGTCAAATTCTCCAAGCGTGCCTTCCTCATTATATGTCCCAGAAACTTCAGCTGTCTCTTTATGATTCTCAGTATGTTTCTTTTTTGTTTCACCTTTCCTGAAAACTTTCTCACTGCTCACATGCTCCATCTATGGTATTTCGAAATCCTTCTGTGGAACCAGATTTCTGTTTCCTCAAGTTTTCTCTTCATCCGTAAGGAGATTGTCCTTCATTCATTGTCATGTTGAAGGATTGATATTAAATACCAGTTCAGCACTCTTTACTTTGTTTCTAATGAAATCTTCCTGTTTCTTAGTACTTAGCTTTTCAAATGCATCTTTTGCAATTACAATGCACATTCAAATTTTGGAGTTGCATTCTCCACCCAATTTTTGTGCATATACATTGTAAAACAATCTAATTCTAGCAAACAAAATTGATGAGTTTTATCATCCAGTATAATGACATTTATTACCAATAATAGTAATGCAGGCAATCACTATAGCATTAAGTGGCCATAACATGACTCATCATCTTGACCA